CGGGGTCGAGTGGCCACTGCTCGGTAGCCGGTTGTACGGGTGCATTTGGGATCAACCTTTCCACATCACAACTCTCTCTCTCTTTCTCTCTTACCGCACCGCAGCGACCGCGATGTAATGTTCCTAGAAAACGACACCGTTTGGGGCTTGATTTTCTGAGAGAAAGAGAGAGACCACGTGCGTTGGCTAATGGCTAGGCTTCTCCCAGGGAAAACGCAATGCAGTCTTTTCTTTTTCTTTTATGGAGAGGGAAGCCAAAGAAAGGCATGCACCTATTTTTAGCTTTTTTTCTTTTTTCTTTTTCCTTTTTTTATTTTATTTTTTTTTTAAATTGTGCGTGCAGGTGCGTCAAGAAAGGTATCGGTAGTCGGTACTATTACTATCTATCACGCATGAGATTGAGCCAACAAAAACTTCATCTGCTTCCTGCAATTTTATTTCGTACCATGATTTTGGATTTTGACCCTGCAACATAGAGTTTGATGAGTCGTCTGCGATTTCCTTGTTCTTTTTCTAATCTTATCTTCTTTTTTTTTTTTAAGTGAGACTAATCTTGTCTAACATGTGTACTTTGTAACTCATAATTCTTAAGAATAAGAAGTCGTGTTGTCGACATGTTTTTTGGAATGTCCTAATCGCGTTATTTAAAAGGATTCTTATTTTTTTTATGGTGTGTTTGGACGAGGAATTTTATAAATTCAAGGAATTTTAAATTCTTGTTACTTGAGTTATTTTGATTTTAATTTCTATCATTCTTAAAATATTTTGTTTGGATAAGTCAATTCAAATTTTTTAAATTTTAAATTATTGGGTTGGATATGATAATTTGATCCACCATGAAATATTTGATTTTAAAAATATATATATGTTGAGATTCTTAAATTAAATTTTACAAAAATAAATATTAGCTAAATTTTAAATATTTAATATTTTTAAAAATTAATATTAGATAATATTTAATAATTTTAAAAATATTTTTAAATATTCAATAATTAAAAATATGAAGAGATAAGAGATAAGATAAAATATATAAGCGAAATAAGAAGAAAAAAAATATGAGAAATTTCAAATTCTTACTTTTTTGGGAGAATTTGAAATTATACTATTTCAAGAAATTTCACAATGCTTGAATTTCAAATTCCTTATAAATTTTTCATCCAAACAAGGTATTTTACCTCAAAAATTTTGAAATTCTTCAAATAAATGAATTAATCCATTTAAATTCCTCATCCAAACACACTATTACGACTTTAAATGGAGGTTGAAAAGACTCTGCGCGATCAAATATTTGATTTAGTTTTATATCATCTACTACTTGAAAATTAATCCTAATTTTCATTGGTAAAAATAAATTATGATCCATGACCATTTATTGAAAGCACGTTAGGGATTGTTATAAGGAAACATTAAAACGTGCTATAAATAGTATGTGATAATGTTAAACTTTAAAAACGGTTAATTTGATTTTGTGATATGAGGGGTCATAATACTAAGGTGATAGTGAAATCATATGAAAAAAAAAATTAAATAGAAAAGGGAAATCATTAGAAAAAAATAATATAAAAATAAGGATAGTTGAATAATCTTGAAAGTACTCAAAATTGATCATTAATTTTCTGCGATAAGCAAGTTTTCTACAGAACCTTGTCTAATTAGACAATTTTACACAACATTTAATTATGCTATTTTTGACAAAAGTGCTTGAGGATATGCATTTATCTCCATATACATTTTTGTCATAAACGTGTATAAATCAATAATATCTTTGGTTGGCGTGTTAAACCAAAACATAAATTTAGTGGTTAAAATATGAAAGGACATAAGAGTATGATAAAATTGTAACACGATAAGAAAAACATTAATAATATATATATAAAAAAAAGTAATAATAGTATAATTTTAATTTATTTAATATTCTAATGTTGTTAATGAGTAATAAATTTATTAAATATGTGTTTTATTAAACATTTGAATTATTATTAGTTTTATAATACTTTTTAAAATTATATTTGATCATAAAATTTAAGAAAATTTAAAATAAAAAAATAATTTATAAATTTTTTAATGAGTTCAAAGGTTAATTCAACCCAACCCAACTGGTTTATCTATTATAGGTTAGGTTTTATTTGGTTAATATTTTTAATTCAAGTTTTAATATAAAATTATATTGAAACTTTTTAGTAAATTGGATAAATGGGTTGAATTGATCCATTTGACACATTACCTAGGAGCTGAAGTAAAAAAAGATATTAAGACAAAAATTGATTACATGATAATAAAATTAACGATGATTAACAACATCTCTAATAGTAAAAACTCATTTTGAGTTCTTAGTATTTTTTTTATGGGCTCCTGAATGTTATTTTAAAAACGTTTTTTGATATTTTTTTTTTATCAAATAGAAGAATCTATTAACCTAACTTGAGTTCTTGGTCTACTTTATGTGAATTTCACGGTAGAATCATTTTTTTTTTCTGGAAGAACCTAGTTCTTGTGTGTTCTTATATAAAAACTAATTCTACACATGATAATCAAGTCACTGTACTCTAATTGTAAAAACAAATAAGAAGCATTTTTTATTTTAAGAACTCATAAGAATCTCTCATTAAATATGACCTAATAAAATATTTGTTTAATAAAAAACAAAATATCATATATGTCATGAAAGTAAAAATAGATACTTTTAATGTTAAAAAAAAATATATAAAAAAAATCTTGTTAGATATCAAGATTATGATATTTTTTATTCTTAATTTGATGGTTGTAATTTTAAGATATAAAACTATAAGAGATTTTAAGTTTTTTTTTCTTCTTAATTTAATTATGTCAATTTATTTAACTTGACAATTCATGATGAGTCGAGTTATATTCATTTTAATTAGTTCATCCAAAAGCAAATCACGTAACGTTAACCCATCTTGATAGCTCCACGTTTACTGAGTTTGTTGGATAATAAGAGAATTAAAGCCTAAAAATGTAGAGCAGTGAAAATAAAAAGGAAGATTTGACGATAAATAATGTGTAAAAAAAGAAACTAGACTAAAAATTTAAAATTTAAAATTTAAAATTGTAATTTGAAAAGTAAAAATATTTTTGCTATATTTTAAAAAATATATATTATTTTTAATATGTAGAGTAAACTGTTAATAGAAATTTAAAGATTTTTTAAATTTGTAAATTAATTTTTTACTTATTATAAGGTAAATTGGGACCTAAGCTAAGAAAAAATATTTTTTTTGTTATCAATTTTTTTAAAGTAACTACTTCAATAACTTGAGAGTGTAATTCTTTTGGGGGCGTTTGTTTCTAGGTATTTACTATTTTTTCAAGAATCACATTCTTGAGGATATTATTATTGGAATGTTATTAATGAGAATATTTAAAAATTTGTTTGGTGGCATTTTAACATTTCTGAAAATATTTAAAAGTTTAAATTAATTAAAACAAAAATGAGTAGAAAAAGTGAGTTAAAAAATAACTTTCTACATTCTCATGAAAATACAACTTTCTCATCCTCCACAATAGGAATCAAAATGAAGTGAATCATGTTATGATTACTTTTCCAAGAATAAATTATACTTGGAAATATTTTTTCAAAATCCTAAACAAATATGGTAATATGACATTTTCAACTCAATATTTCGAGGAATAAGTTTTTAATTCGTGAAACAAACACACTTTTTAAGTTGTGCAAAGGCATAGTTTTTCTTTTTACATTTAACCATCGTTTTTTTGGTACGTTACAGTTGGATAGTTGTCTGATAGGAGGTTGGGGAATCTTGTTTCTTTCTAAATTTATTTAGTTGTACCAAAAGTTGGGAAAGAAGGGGGTGAACTTTATTTTTTTAAGTATAGATGCAGACTCATTTGAATACTTTTGGGGTGGTGATGCTCCTATATAGGAGTATGTAGTTATTTTCCTGATTGTACTTAATTATAATTTTTCTCCATATATAATAAGGTTAAACCCTAATTTGGTATGAGCATGTAGTTATGTTCCTGATTGTACCTATTTATAACTTTTTTCATATATAAGAAGGTTAAATTCTAATTTGGTCCCTAAAGCGTGAAATGCCTCCTGTTCAATCTCTAAAATATGTTAAATTTTAAAAAACCTTCGAAAGAATCTTTCGTCATTCATGTTAGTCTCTAAGTGGATGGTAGTTAAGTATCATTCAAGATGGACATAAGCTAGGTATAGATAGATCAGACTTTGAATATACAAGTTAGGTTAGATCCACTTTTAAATATATAGGCTGAACCTATTTTATAAAAGTAAAGCCTAAGCATAATGTATCTATCACAGGTTTTTTTTAGGTTTAACCTAACCTTTTTAAAAGTTTAGTTTAACCTATTAGTCTATTTTACATTAACAATGTTAAATAGATCAATAAATTTAATTTTAAATAAACAAACAAATTTATTTTTAAATACATTTGTGATTCTTTTTTTAATTTTCGTGATAAAAAAATGATTACTCTAGTATTAAAATTAAAAGTTTAAATTAACATAAGAGGGACAACTTCTATTTTATATTTCTTGATTTGTATGAACAATGAATATAAAATGTGTAATTAAGTTGGTGAAAATGTCAAAATATTAATAATTTAATTTTTTGTATTACAAATATTTATTTAGTTATATATAGATATATATATATATTATTTTATTGTTATTAATTATATAGATAAATAGGCCACCTATTAGGTCTAACATACTTTTTTTAAATGTAAGTTTAACATATTTAAATAAAAAGGTTTTTCAAAAACTTAAATTTAACATTTTTGTTAAATAAGTCAGCTCGTGCTTTAAATAGGTTAAGCTACAAAAGCCTGGCCTATTTCTATCTCGAACTGTCACACTAATAACTATTGTTCATCCTATATTGCATGCCACATTATATGGACTAAATTGAAAATTTTTGTTTTAATAGTATATTTTTAAATGCTTGAAAACTTTCAACTTGATCCATACAGTAATTCATTTTAATTCCTGAAAGTTAATAATGACATTCAAATTGGTCCTTATACAATAATAGTTATACACACATTTCAAACTTTTAAATTAGTCCCTACACAAATTCATTAAGATTCATTTTATCCCCTGAAAGTTAATAATAACTTTTAAATTGGTCACTATCTAATAATAGTCAATACACACATTTCAAACTGGTTCTTACACCAATTCATTAAAATTCATTGAAGTCCCTAAAAGTTATTAATAACTTTCAAAGTTATCCTTAAATTAATCACTAACATGAT